AGACACTAGTCAGAATTCAGAGTGACATGGAGTCACCATGAATTCTATGTAGCTCAATGAACAAAGGATTTGGGGACCTTATATAGCCAAAATTAGCCTCAAGCAAAGACACATCAAAGTGTCCAAATCTGCATAGACAAGAGATCACTCGAGATAGCGATATCAAGGTGGGAATGTATTATAAAGAGATTCCAGCTTGGTTGCAAAAAACATCCTGGTTGTAAATTACCTTAGCTTTACTGTTTAGAAGTGTGAATTCCCTTCTGCAGTGCAGCTCCCAACTCCCCTTTTGATTTTTATTTAAATTCCCTGGGTACGTGGTCTCTTGCTCTTTGCTCTTGGGCTCATGGCGACTCAGGGCATCCAGGTCCACTTAGGGCCATGGCAAGGAAAGCATACACACACCAAAATGTTGGAAGACATCCAGTACTGCTAACAAAAAAGTGTTTTGGATTGCACAACCCTTCAGGCATTCAGCCTAAATACCAGATCCTATCTGATGTTGGAAGCAGGGTCAGCCCTTATTAGTAATTGGATGGTAGACTGCCAAGGAATACCAGGTGATAGAGGTGTCAGAGGAAGAAACTGGCAAAACAATGTCAAGTATTCCTTGCTTTTTAAAAAAGAAAAGCTCTGTGAAATTCATGGGATTGCCATAAGTCAGCAGGCAACTTGAAGGTACATAAAAAAATCCTTCAGGCAGAGGTGTTCAGAAGCCAATCAAACAGAAGACAGTAACTGAGAGTGTTTCAATTTAGTTTAATACTTGCTTTTGGGGCCAGTGTGTGAAACACAGTCTTCACATTAAAACCAGATGCTTTGTATTAATCAGTAATAGAATTTGGAAAACTTATTTTTGGGGGGAGCAGGAACACAATTTCAAGAATTTATAAGCCCCATCTGGGGGCTTTTGGAAGTTTTGGACCCTAAAAGTAAGATTTGTGAACTGCAGTTGAACATACCATTACTTTTATTTTATATCCACAACCTGGCTTTTCTTTAACCAAATGTGAAATGCTAGAGGTTTAAAATGAGAAAAATAATGCAGCCTGTATGTAAGACTGTGATTTGAACCAGAAGACTAACACAAGATGTAAGTGGTTTCTTATCCCATTTAATGTGGGTTTTTAATAAACTTTCATGCTATGTATTGATTTACTTTTATTCTCCCATATTGGGAGAAAGGCAAAATATAAAATAAACAAGTAAATAAATTAATCCATCTGCTTAATTTCTCATTATGTTTTCTATGGGAAATGCTCTCCCCCATTCTCTTGCTCTTTTCCTGAAAAGGTTAAAAGCAGCAGATGGCAGTTGGACAAGGGAGGAGTGTGACATAGATGGCTTCGCAGCAGAGTGGTTGAGGGCCCTGCATCCCTTCACATCTTCTACTACAGCCTCATGCAGTTAGCTACTGTTAGCTCTTAACAAAGAGGAGAGAAACTATGGTCCTCCCAATGTTTTTGGACTCCAGTTCTCATAATCCCTCAGCTTTGGGTCTGTTGCCTGGGGCTAATGGGAGTTGTAGACCAAAAACATATGGAGAGCCACAGTTGCCTTTCTCCACCTTACAGAACTACAATTCCAAGGATGCATTGATTGGGAAATGTGAATATATCAGAGGAGATTTGGGGACATTGTGTTTCATTTTTTGGTTTATTTTATTGTTCATTTTCTGTTTTCTATTGGGGTTGTTTCTTGGATGGTTTTGGTGCCAGGTTAAGAAAAATCAGTAGGGTGTAACATTCCTAAAATAAGCAAATGCATTTTTCATTCACTTCTAGATCCAACATACTGGGAACTAAGTTTACTGTGTTTGACAACGGGATCAATCCAGACAAGAAACCTTTTGTTCCAGAAACAGCCCAACTGCGACAAGAGCTGGTTGGCATTTGCTATGTAAGTTTGTTGTTCCCAAGTCAACTTGGGGTTTGTACACCAGTGCACCTTATGCCAACCAAGAATCACACCAAAGAGGGAGATACAAACTTTTTCTTTATATGCTGCAGCAAAAGAGTACTTGGGGAATCTCTTCTACAGAGCAGACATGATTAATATGACAAACATCCAAACATTTATGCATTTCCACATGGAAAGTAACAAAGCATTTTGACATTATAGCATACTACATCATTCAGCAAAAGGATTACATTTCTTGTGCATGCGCACTTAGAAAATCATGTGCATACATCCCATAGTATTATTATTTCTTGTTCATTATCATAATAACTCTGCACCTGGACTTAGGGCCTTTGCAGTCTGCCAGAAATAGTGCGCATTAAATTGAGGCACTGCCCTGGCTCAGTGCTAGGGAGTCATGGGAATTGTATTTTTTTCTGAGACATTGAGCCTTCTCTGTCAGAGAGCCCTGGTGCCACAATAAAATCCAGTTCCCATGATTCCCTAACCTCCTTGCAAACCCAAATTGAGTCCAGTTTTAACCCTAAAACTGGACTCAATTTGCACTATTTCTGGCAGTCTGCAACCCCCCTTAGTGTGTTAGTATTATAATAAGATCTAGGTTGCAAACGTTCAGAGATTTTCTGAGTTCAGCATGTTGCTGAATCCTTCTAGCTGCTAAACATGTTGTCTCCCCCCATCTTTGTGTTGTTTGCCTTCAAGTCATTCCCAACTTACGGTGACCCTAAGGTGAATCTATAATGAGGTTTTCTTGGCAAACTTGTCCAGAGGAGGTTTGCCATTGCTTTTCCCTGAGGCTGAGAGCATGTGATTTGCCCAAGGTCACCCAGTGGGTTTCATAACTGAGCTGGGAATCGAATCCTGGTCTCCAGAGTCATAGTCCAACATTTAAATCACTAAGCTTTACTGGCTGTCTCCCTGCATCTAGCTAGGCCTCATCTGCTTGGCACATTCTTTTCCAAAGTAACTTGGGTCAATCTACATTACAGAAGTAAAGCAGTTTGACAATACTTTTAATGCCATGGCTCAATGTTATGAATTCTGGGATTTGTTGTTGTATGAGATATTTAGCCTTCCCTGTCAGAGCTTTATTACAAACTAAACATACCAGAATTCCATAGCATTGCGTCATGGAAGTTAAAGTGGTGTCAGAGTGCTTAATTTCTACAGTGCAGCAGTAGCAGTCACATCCAGGGTTGCAGGGAAATAATTCTTTTCCCTAGGGAACAATCGATAGTACTATCCAACCAATCATGTACTGCCTAGCCCATCAAATTTAGGTCAAGGGCAGACACTTTTGTCACAAAGAAGGAATCTGAACATGTCTGACCAGCATCTGGGCAATAATAAAGATGCAGTCTCCAAAATAGCCATTTTCAGCCAGAATGAAGAGTATTGAGTTGATAAAGCAGCTCCCTACAATCATAACACACTTCCTTCTCCTGACCCTTATTCTAACCTATATTAATAGCATCTATATTAACATTAGTATTAATAGCCACATTTATGTCATTTTCATATTTTGGTATGAAGCCAGTTTTATCTCACATGGGGAAAAAAGATGATTAGATGTTCAGAAATTAGAACTTTACCTTCAGTTTAAAAAGGAGATCTTTCCCAAAGCCTGAAATCAGTTTGAAAGGACAAACTGTATTCAAGGTGTGGGTGGGACCCAAAATACCAGCATCTTTTATCTTAAACCTCTTAATGCAAGTAAGTAAGCCTTAGGAAAGGCCTTTCAACCTTCTAGAATGAGAAGGTATAAAAAATCTGGGAAACCATCCAACAATGGTGTCATGTGGAGGGAGGAGCATGTTGTTTGGGGACCAGGACAGGATTTGCCCAACATCAGGGCTGGATTAACCATTAAGCAAAATAAGCACATACTTAAGAGAGCCAGCGTGGCATAGTGGTTTGAGTGTTGGATTATGACTCTGGAGATCAGGATTCGATTGCCAGCTCAGCCATGAAACCCATTGGGTGACCTTGGGCAAGTCATATGTCTCAGTCTGAAAGAGAGGCAATGGCAAACCCCCTCTGAAGAAATTTGCCAAGAAAACCCCATGATAGGGTTGCTTTAGGGTTGCCATAATTCAGAAATAACTTGAAGGAACACAACGACAACAAGGACATGAAGGGCAAGGGTCACCACAGAAATTTTCCATTGCCAGATTTCCCATGGACCTCATAGTGCAAAACTGCAAATGGTGCAGCTGAACCAGGTTCCACAAAAAAGGCTCCCACAATAAATTTTAAAAACTACATACATACATACATATATACTATAATAAAAACAATAATAAAATAGTAATAGCGGTTAATGATATACATCAGCCTTGGGAATACAACAGAGTTAGAATCTGGTAACTGGTAAACTGCCATGTGGTCTACCAAGGCTCACATGACCATTCTTGTCTTGGTCATGTCAGTTGTCATATTCATTTCTCCAGTGAGAGTGAATGTAGCAATGCTCAGTACAGTATTGTCACATGGGGGGTTCTCCAAATTTGGAAGTTTTTTAATGATTTATTATTGTTTATATTTTGAATTAGATATATACAGGGGCACCAAAATCTTTTAAGTGCTTAGGGCTTCTAAAGATCATAAGCTGACCCTGTTCAGGTTCTTCATATTTAAAAAGATATCCTAACCAGCTTGTGAGTCAAATACCTACAAAAGCACCTCTCCTTGTGTCAGTGTGCCTAACTTTAAAAAATTGTCAAGGAAGGTTCTTTGCCAAGTACCTATTGTACATTATGGCAATAAAAGGGGATGAGCCTTCTCAGGTACACCTGCCCTCCCTGTGAAATTGCAACTAACACCAACATTGCAGTTCCCACCCCAACACTCTAACCCAGGGGTCGGCAACCTATGGCCCGTGGGCCAAGTGCGGCCCACGGAGGCCTTGGGACTGGCCTGTGGCCGGCCCTGCCGCTGCTGCCGCCACCGCACACAAGCACGTGACAGCAGGTGCCATTTTGGAACGCGCAATGGCATCGGCGTTGTGCACATGTGCACGACGCTGGCGCCGTTCAGCGTTCCAAAACGGCACCCGCCGCAGTGCGCATGCATGTGTAAGCGCAGGCGCCATTTTGGATGCCAAAATGGCGCCCGCGCTCGCACGCGCATGCACACAGCAGCGGGCGCCTTTTTGGAAGGCCCAACGGTGCCAGCGCCGTGCGAATTCGCATGGCGCTGGCGCTGTTGGGCCTTCCCATATGGCACTCCGCGTTGTGCGCATGCGTGCACGCAATGCAGGGAGCCATTTTGGAACGCCCAACGGCGCCATGTGCATGCGCACAGTGCTGTTGGGCATTCCAAAATGGCGCACCCCCCACATGCGCGCATGTGCACAACGTGGGGGTTGCGCGCATGCGCCCGGCCGGCCCCAGCACCATTTCCCCCCCTCCCGGCCCCCCCACCACAAAAGTTGCCAACCCCTGCTCTAACCTTTTTGTTTGCTTGGTTATTTTAATTGGTTGATATGAGCTCGCAATTATAATTGCTGTCTTCCTGCTTAGACAATGGTGATGATTGATTATTTGATTTTGTCGTCTGTATTGTATTTTGATCATATTCTTATATGCCATTATGATGTCCACAAGGATGAAGGTGATTTTAAAAGAAAATAAATCCATTGTTCTGGCCTGAGAGAAGAGCATCCAGCCACAGGTCCGTTGTATCTTGGCACCAGTAGCTGGTGAGAGGCCCTCCCTCCATGTTCCAGCTGCCACTGCTGTGGACTTTGAGGCAGAGAAGAGAAGCCAGCATCTTTTGGACTTAATCCCCTTCCACACTGCAATTCCCCTTTCCTTATGTGTTGTGTCTTATTTAGATGGTAAGCCTGAGAGCAGGGAACAATCATATATTATGATTTGTAAACCAACCCAGGAGCCTTTTTGGCTGAAGCATGAGTTATAAATACACAATCTGTCTGTCTATGTGTCTGTCTATATAGAATTAAAATGAATGATAACTATGCAAAGGAACACTAAAAGCTGAGGTTGATTTCTTTCTTTCTTTGTGACCCTGACTTCTTTCAGGAAACCAATGTTTTGGGATTCAGGGGCCCACGGAAAATGACAGTGATCATTCCGGGCATGAACTCAGACAATGAGAGGATCTGCATCCGTCCTAAAAATGTGAGTGGTTCTTTTTTGCAAGGAGGTTAGAAGCCTCTCCCCCTCCCTCTCACATCAATGCCTGTCTCAGGTCAGAGCTACAAATGTAAGACAGCCCTTTGCTTCCTGTGTGCCCATCTGCACCTATAGGAACACGAGACCTTACTTATCCGATTCCAAAACCGGAACATGCAGAACCTCATCAAACTCCAGAACAAGATGCCAGCTTGGAACGAGGAGACCCAGTCGTATGTGCTCAACTTCCACGGGCGTGTCACACAGGCATCCGTCAAAAATTTCCAGATCATCTCAGAAGATGACCGTGAGTGATGGTGCACAGAGTTAAAGGAATGTGAATTGTGGGGAAGATTTTTGAAGTATTGTAATGAATCTCTGCTTCAAAGCGAGTTAGGTTATGTGGGACTAACTTCTAAGAAGTCTAACATGTGCAGCACAAGCAACTGAGAGTGTGATACACTGGAACATTTATGTCCTGCCTTACAGCTAAGACCAGTGTGGTGTTGGACCAGGATTCTGGGGTATCAGGGTTTGAATCCCCACTTGGCCATCAAAACTCACTGTGTGACCTTGGGCAAGTCACACATTCTCTACCTCAGAGGAAGGCAGTGAAAACTCCCACTGAAGAAATCTGGCCAAAAAAACCCTGTAATAAATTCACCTTAAGGTTGTCATCGTCATCATCATATGTTAAAAATGATTTGAAGGCACACAGTAACAATAACTTAATTATCTCAGTGTAAGATGAAGTACAAGAACACTGGGTAATTTAAAACAAAACAATGTAAAACACTTTGAAACAGTTTAAAACAGTATTTACAATATACATTAATTCAGCTTGATATGGCGATGTGAGTGTTGAACTAAGACTCTGGAAGACTAGGATTGGAGTCCCCACTCAGCATGGAAACCCACTTGGCCAAGTGACACTCTCTCAGGCTCAAAGGAGGACAGTGGCAAACCTCCTCTGAATAAATCTTGTCAAGGAAACCCTATGATAGGGTGTCATAAGTCAGATTCATCTTGAAATCATAAACCAATAACGGTATTAAAAGAGAAATCCACAAGATTCTCTAGTATAACAGCTCTAGCCTCTAAACAACAGATAAGAGATTTTAGAGTAATTAAACTGTTGTTGACTGAGGCCAGCCTACAACATTTTGCTGCCTGAAGTAAAGTGATGAATAGTAGCCTACTGTGACCCACTCAAGTCAAGGGACATATTCATGCCCTACCAACTTATTTGGCACAGGAGGCAGAAAATCCCACTATCATCTTTTACTGTCCCCGGTGCAAAAGCCTTTTCATGATATCCAAAGTCTGGTTGTGACTGGTGGCCATCTCATTTTGCTTAATGGTAGGTCTGGCCTCATTCTTGGCAGGTCATAAATAACTGGATATATTACTTGATAGAAAAGGTTGTGCAAAAACTCCTGGATGCAGAATGGTCCAAATCTCTTGAAAAACCTGTATAACCTTTTTTTTTTTAAACCCTCTTTTTACCATGTTCCAAGCATGAATAGTTGGATAGGCAGCTAGAGGGGAGTGAGAGAGAGAGAGAGAGAGAGAGAGAGAGAGAGAGAGAGAGAGAGAGAGAGAGAGAGAGAAGGGTTGGTGAGAGATGCAGAGGAAAAGAGTTTGTGACAAGCTCCCTTTACTTCCTCATTTGTCTTTTTCTCTCTGGCCTCCAGCTGACTACATTGTGCTACAGTTTGGTCGTGTGGCCCCCGATGTCTTCACCATGGATTACCAGTACCCACTCTGCGCACTTCAGGCATTTGCCATCTGCTTGTCCAGCTTTGATGGGAAACTTGCTTGCGAGTAGAAAGCCAAGCCAACCAACTTCAGTTGTTAAAATCCCTGTGGTTTTGCTCCAGATTGCTTCCTGCTGCCTTGTAAAACTGGACGATCCAAAACTTTTTTAGTACTGCCTACCTTTGAACCTCTCAGCTTCCCATCCCTTGCCAGGCTGGACCTCCACATGACCTGTTACTGTTAAGCTGGCATGTTTGGCTTCCTTTTACTCTACCTCCATTTAAGTTCTGTTATGACAAAATAGCCTTGTGCTTTCCTAAAACCCTTGACTTCTCATCTTCCCATTTGTTTTTGCTTTTTTCCCATTTGCTCTTTGACTTTCCCCACACTCACAACCTGATCTGCTCACCTGTTCAACTTAATCTTTGAACTTAACATTTTTGGTTCAGGCTTGTTAGGTTCCAAAATCCCTCCTAGCCATCCTTTCAGAACAGTACCCACCTACCAAGGAAACAGATCATCTCACCTGATGTGGACCACAGCTCTGTTACTTGAAGAAATAGCAAACACCAGAAAAACAGCCATTTCTGCCAGCTTCACAGATTCAGAACAAGAAAAGAGGCAGCCATGTTGTTGGGAAGTGGCATCCATTTTAAAATACAACTGAAGCTGCAACCCCACCCATCTTCCCTTCTTTATCAAAACTGGGTAATAGATTGGAAATAAAGCTTACCCAGAGATCAAAACAATTGTTGATTTGTTCTTGGGAGTAGATGGGCCTATCACCAAAAATATATGGTGCTGATTGACTTCATCAGTTGGGGATTCTACAAGCTTCACTTCAGCTGACTTCTGCTTTCTTTTAGCTACAACAAAAGAAGGTTGCTGCTGTACAGTATATCACATTTTTGGAACATGGCTTTCAGCATGGCATGTATTTTCAGTGATTCCTGAATGTTTTTGGACTTAAACTAGACACTTAACCTGGCCAGTAGTTAAGTATACTTGGAACTGTGGTCCCCAGCTTCTGGAGATCTAAGTTTAGTAGCCACTACTGGAGCCACCAAATCCTT